GAATGTAGGGAAAGGACTTTCAGAGATGGCATGCTTTCTCCTATCCAACCTGGTATTTCTCCTCGCAACTTATTTGAGCTCAGGTCTAAAAATACTAGAGAACTACAATTCCTCAAAGACAAAGGTAATTCTCCAGCAAAGCTATTATCATGCAAACTCAATGTTTGAAGTTTGAGCATTGATCCAATGGAGCTGGGAATTTTACCTGAAAAGTTGTTGCTGGCCAAATTCAGAACATCTAGATCTCCTACACAATCAGGAATCCATCCAGTCAACAGGTTATTTGAGAGGTCAAGGACCCTCAAGATACCACTTCCACTTTCACATCGAAAAGAAGCTGGACCTGAAAACTTATTGTTAGAGAGAAACAAGGTTGATGTGGCATCTGATGAGAAAAGTGGTAATGGACCCTCAAACTGGTTGAAACTCAAATCTATGCTGCGGAGATTGGAATATTTTGATGAGAAATCTGGCAAAAATCCACTCATCTTGTTGTGAGAAAGGTCTAGCAATTTCAAGTTGGAACGGGACAAGTTCCAAAACCAATTTGGGATTGCATCTGAAATTCCGGTGTTCGACATATCTAGCTGCACGAAATTATTTTGATTTCGAAGCCATTGAGGGAAAGGAGGACCCAAATTACAAGACGAAAGAGATATGTCATCTAATTGAAAAGTGGGAGCCCAATTAGACTCAAATTTCAAAGTTAGGGAGTTATGAGTTAAATCCAATACCGTTAATTTGGAGAGATTTGAAAAGTGAGCTTCAGACATCACACCTTGTAGGGAATTCCCTCCAACATGCAATTCCTCGAGCTGAAATAGACTTCCAATACTTTTAGAAACATTCCCATCTAAGCGATTGTTATCGATCCACAACTCTCTTAATGATGAAAGCATCGTAACATCCGTAAGTGATCCAGTGAGTTGGTTGTCATCCAAGTCCAACACAGCAAGTTCAGAACGTTGACTAAATCGTTTTGGTAAAGATCCATTCAGTTGATTCCGAGAGAGATC